CTCCAGACAGCTACATTTTGCATTTGGATATCATGTACTGAAAAACAATACTGAAAGCTCCTGTTGGGTCTTACAATTTACAATACTTATTACTGGAGAAGCCGAGGATAGAGAATTGGAAAGCGAAGTCCCAGGTCTTCAGGAGTTTGCCATCTAGAAGCAATACCCCACTTTCTTCATCACCTTCATCTCCCTACTTCTCACACCTTCTCTCATCACAGGGATCAAACATTATGAGCCTCTTAATATGTCAATACAGCTAATATGCAACAATAATAGCTAACATTACTAGGTGCCTATTATATGCCATATTCTAGTCTTAAAGAAAAGGGAAAAAGAGCCCTCCACAGTCTTCTATCAAAGTGATATTTCTTCCCAAGTACCACTCTGTCTCCTTCTCCTGAAGACACAACCGATAGAACAATCTCCAGGGCAAAATTGGAGATCAGGAAATAGTAGTTACTGCTGATGTCACGGCTGACTTCCTAACTGCCAGTTCCGATAAGCACTTTTCTGCCCTTTCTCACTTTTGTAGATGACCAAGCAACTCTACACCCTCTTAATTCCTTTGATGTTTCTTCTCTTGTTTTTCTCCTTTTTCTTTCTCAGTCTTTGTGTTATGGCTATAGGCAATTCCCACAAAATGGGTGTCTGCTTCTTTATAAAACAAATCATGCTATCAACATGAGGGAATTCTTGGGAAAAACAAGAGTCCATTTATGTAAAATACCATCAACTGTAAGACCTATCAATTGTTTTGTTGCTTTTGAGTGTAATAAAATATTCCCCATGAGAATTTCAAAATGATCTTTTGATGGTTATTGAAGAATGTTTTGTAATAAGCATCCATTTAAAATAAGATTCTATGTTCTTTAATGTATTTTAAGTGGTTGAAATAACCCCATATGTATCTGTGTACACTATTGTTTGGTCTTAATTAAATCAGAAATCAACTTAGCTTCTGTACGATTCATCCACACATTCTAAGATTTCCATCAATATGTGACCTTGCAAGCATCTGCTCAAGAGATTTGGGAATCTAATTATGAGCTTACACTAAATACTTTTAGTGCTGGTTTGAAAAATCAAGTTGTCAATAAATTATATGTTCAATTATTTCAAATGCCCATCCTCAGAACATAAGAATATATCCTATTTGGAGATTATTTCTCATGTTTCCCATGCATCTCTTTTGAGGTAAACAGCCATTCTGGGAGGGAGGAGTCCTGTTGCAGAAGCCTTGGTAGTTGTCTGGCCCCTTGGTGAATTGTCCTGCCTGACCAGCCTCATATCCTGCCACAGCTCCAGTCCCAAGTTGACTGAGACTCCCCACTGCTCCCAACACCTTGTTCTGGCCTTCCAGCTCTCACCAGATTGAACAGCTACTGTTTCTCTGCTGTTTCCCTTACAGGTCCATGGGCATCTCAATGGCAGGGGCCATGTTTTTCATCCATCAGTGTGTCCTACTTGAATGTGGTAGGTACTCAAACATATTGCACATTTGAACAGATTGAAGAGTGGAGGAAGACCTCAAGGCAGAGGAAGTTTAGCCCTGTTTGAACAGACAGATCGTTTGTTGACTTCCCCAGAATAACCCTCTTTGCACCCTGTTTTTATTTAATGGTCTTCTCTAAGAGATCATGAAGTTTGTAAGGGGAGGCAGCGTGTCTCCCCTTACATCTGGCAGAGACACATGCAGAACCTAGTATATACTCGGCAAAATTTGCCACACAAATGACTCTGATTCTATCTTAGCTCAATGACTAAGAAGAATTCGCATCTAACCAAATTTTTCTTCTGCACACTGAGGGCAAGAACAGAAGAGAGGCAAGCGATACAGGGAGCTTCAATCTTCCAGCATTCTCCTGACGAATACTAGATAGCTCAGCAGTGGCTGGGCCTTGCCTAGATTGCCAGATCTCCATTAAGTAATAAATTTTCCAGAAAGAGGAAAAGAGGGTGGGACCATGACGGTCGTGTCTGTGAAAGGATGCGCTTTGTGTATGAATCCTGGAAGGGGATTCCATGTTAGTGAACAAAGCCATGTTGTCAAAGCCTCTCTCCATTAACACACCCTATCTGCTGGAAGCAGATGGAAATAAGTCATGCCAGGACTTGTGACATAAATATTCATTATGCACAGGGTGACTGCAGTGCCATGCGCATACTGAGTGATTTCTCACCTGTCTGGGGAAGAAATGGATGGAGAACTGCATCTCCCCTTGACTATCGTCCACATTAGACCTGGCTCCTTACAGATAGGTGAATAAAATTCGTGTTTTGTCTTCCAATTTGGAACTGTGCCAAGAAAGCCTGGAGACAGTGAGATGTCTGGGCAGATCAATCTACAGCACGAAGTGGTTTATTTCAGCCTTTTAGAAACAGCCAGAACAGGGAAGAGTAATTGGATCACTTTCCGCGTGAAGTTGAATGTGTTCTCACTATTTACAAGCTGTTTGCCAGCCTCTGGGGCATTATTAGGGGATAAGCCACATTAACACAGCAGAACTTGTCTCTGCCTTCCCAGAGAAACAGCTGGCAGAGCTGGCACCGGCTTCCAGGCAGCTCTTGACTTTCTCTGCTCAGCTTTCAAGTGCCAAGAGCTTGTATGTCGCTGGGCCAGGTGCCCAGCAGGTCCTGCTGCGACTCATCATCCTGTGCTGGGGATAAATTCTCTTCACAGAACCAACCATGTGAATGTGCAGGGCTGAGGAGATGGCAGGGCTCCAAAAGAAAAGGGAACCCATGAACGAACAGTCACCAAAAAGGAGCTCGGAAACTCGACACTTTCTGGCTAAGTGAATTTGGGCAAGACTCAGATTATCCCAGATTTTTCTGACTTCAGCATAACCCTCCAGATTTCAAAAGGACACTTAATTCTCAGACAAGGGCTCCCGATTCAGCTAAAGCCAAGTTGACAGAGGGAATCCCTCATGTTCTTGGAACCAAGTGAGGTTTGTGTAGGTGAATCAGAGATGCAGATCCAGCAGTGGAGACCGCCAACAGGTTGAGAATTAAATGGACAGTCAGGAAACCCTCCACATCCCAATCAGGTCCTTGTTGCATTGTTTGCCTTGCTGTACCAACTAGAAAGAATATGAGGCCATTTTTAACTCCTGAAGTAAATAAATCTGAATATTAGAGTAGGTACGTTTCCAGCAGTTCAAATCAGTCACGATTCTCCTTCGCCATCCAACCTGCTAGACGATCCTGAGACAGGGAAGCTCACTACCTTACAGGCACTCTAATTGTCCAGACAATCCTTTTATCTGCTTATGTCCTGTCTCCCTGGTTCCCTACCTAGCTGTGGACACAGTATTGTAATTCAGTCTTGAGAACTCCCATGACTCCAGTAGACTTGTGTGGGTTCCCAGTGGGGTTTGACCCCATTCCTGTGAAGCCAAAACAGGCCCTTCATCAAGGCTGCCCGAGGGTCTTTCAGGTTCCTATCCCTACACGGAGCATGCCACAAGGAATCTTTTTTGACACAGGAGGAATGTGGAAAGGCTGTAGGCCACCCTCTCTCCCTACTTTTGTGGGTAAGTCCAGGTATGGCATCTTCTTCACTTGAAGGGCCGACTCAGGTGAACTCCTAGCTGGGTGGCTTCTCAGCCTCCCTTTTTCTGTATCTCCTGGAATTCATCCATAGCCTGGCCTGTTCAATAGCTGTGCTTTGGAGGATTTTTCCATCTGCCTGACCCTCTGAACCCCGAGGCCATCACACCAGCCTCTCTGGCAATGGGACAGACACATGGCAGCAGTGGAGTTTCCATGTCTGTTTTTTGCTGACTTGCCACTTCCTCTTGCACATCTGTCCCAACCACTCTCTGCATTTAGCCACCCTAAGGCTGGAGGCTTCACCATGTGACAAGAGATCCCAAGATTTCAAATATCATGCCCAGTGCACGCTGCATCACTCAGGGACCCTGATGGAAGGCGGGTCTGTTCTGACTATACAGTAGGTATTCAGAAAGTTTAACACTTAGGAAATGAAACAACTGGCATTAGTGATGGAGCTGCTCACACTGAATTTTGTACTGCCTAAACTTTTAGGTTCTCGGTGCTCTACTCAGGGGTTTGAGTTTTACAATGCAAACACTTGAGGAAAAGAGATTGTGTTCCTTCAGAGTAAGCCCTGCTTCCACCCTAGGAATCCAGCTTAGAACATGCCTGAAGCATATTAATTGATGGCTGTATGGTTTCCTGCACTCTGGTTGGCTCAGCTTGGTGACGCTGGATAAGCTCCATTCCAAGGAGATGCTCCATTCAAAGGACAAACACCTCGACAGTCCAGGAAGGCTGTAACTGTGCAGGCAAGCAGGGAGGCCCCTCAGGCTATGAGCTTAGGAATTCCGACAGCCCCTCCTCACCCAACAGGGCTGGGGCTCTGTCCCACTACTCCAACTGTGTCAACGTGGCCGCAAGTCTGGAAGTACTGGCCCCAGACAGGGCACAAAGGGGAATACCAGAAACAGGTGGTTCCCACTCAATACCTTTCTTCTAGTCCAGTGGCAAAGCACAATTCACATTTAGAAAACCCACTTAAAGACACTTAGAAAGTTGTCTGTTAGCCCATGTGGAGAAAATGCACAAGGAGACTGGCAGATGTGCAGGGAGGTGAGGAAATGAGGGAGGGGTTGTAGTGATTAGAAATCCATGTTCCTAACTTCAGACTTTCCTTTTTCGATAGATTTGTTGGGGCTGAAATGATGCAAAGCCCCTGAGCATCTGTCTCACGGAAACAGCATGTGTGAGCACCTGTTAAATCCGCCAGCACTTTGCGTCATTAACTGACAGCTATATTTAGAGGTGGGTATCACTGCCCCCAGTTCACAAAACAAAAATGGGGCTCAGAGCCTAAGTACCTTGCTTCAGTCATACAGCTAGTGAGTGGCCTTGGTTTCCACTCACGTTGCCAGAATAACTCCATGATGGGTTGGATGTTCTATGGAATCGAAGTTGTGGGGTCTCGTGCTGACTGTTGCTGTCTGCTGCTTCAGGTAATTTGTTCTTGCTGAGTCTGGTATTAGCTGACCTGGTGGTGGCCTTGTACCCCTAACCCGCTAATCCTCGTGGCCATGTTCTATGACAGCTGGGCAGTGGGGGAGGAGCACTGCAAGGCCAGCACCTTTGATGGGCCTCAGCGCCATCGGCTCTGTCTTCAAAACCACGGCCATCGCCATTAACCGCTACTGCTACATCTGCCACAGCGTGGCCCGCCACTGAATCTACCGGTGCCGGCACACCCCTGTACACATCTGCCTCATCTGGCTCCTCACTGTGGTGGCCTTGCTGCCCAACTACTTTGTGGGGTCCTTGGAGTATGACCCACCCATCTACTCCTGCATCCTTCATCCAGACAGCCAGCACCAGGTACACTGCAGCAGTGGTGGTCATCCACTTCCTTCTCATCACTGTCGTGTCCTTCTACCTGCGCATCTGGATGCTGGTGCTCCAGGCACACAGGAAAGCCAAGCCAGAGAGCAGGCTGTGCCCGAGACCCAGTGACTTGCGGAACTTTGTTTGCGGTGTTTGTGATCTTTGCCTTCTGCAGGGCCCCACTTGACTGCATCGGCCTCACTGTGGTCATCAACCCTCAAGAAATGGCTCCCCAGATCTCTGAGGGGCTATTTGTCACTAGCTACTTACTGGCTTATTTCAACAGCTATCTGAATGCCATCGTCTATGGGCTCCTGAACCAGAACTTCCACAGGGAGTACAAGAGGATCCTCTCAGCACTTTGGAACCCATGGCACTGCATTCAGAATGCTTCCAAGGGCAGCCAGGCAGAGGGGCTGCAGAGCCCAGCTCCACCCATCACTGGTGTGTAGCATCCGGCCCAGGGACATGCTCTCTAGCCTGGATCTGAGGCACACTAGCTGTAGGACAAACTCATGAAACTGTTTTAGTGCCAACAGATAAACAGCTTTCTTCAGTTCCACAAACACCAACAGTGCTCTCCATGGACCAGGTCTGGCTTGCTGCCTACCCTCTGGGAGGTCACATTCTGTTGCTAAATTTAGTATCAAGTAACATCCATTGGTGCTTTCTTTGTACCAGGCACTGTAGTAAGGGCTTGTTATGCATTGTCTCAATCCTCACAAAAGTCTTGGAAAAAGGTATTATGATCCATTTTACTAGTAAGAAATGGAAATTCAAAAATCTGCAATTACGGCCAGAATTCAGAGCGCTACATGCAGGGCTAGACGTGGAGTTCAAGTCTGTCTGATGACAGCACCCTACTTCTGTCCCCACTCATTCCAGTGTGGGGTGTGCGGCAGGGACAGTGTAGTGGCCTAAGAATTGCATGTCCACGAGGTGCCTGGGGTCCTCAGCTTGCCAGCTGCTTTCCTGAAGAGCCCAGAATTTTATGGAGCCCAGGATCCATCGTGCTGGATCCTCTTTCTGCCCTTGTCATGTGAAGAATCCAGGCTGAGTGCTGTGCTTGGTCACCTAGCCATGTGGGAGCTTGTTAAAATGCAAATTTTCTGGGCTCTGCCAATAAGGTTTTGATGTTGGAAATTTGGGGCGGGTGTAGGCATCTAACACTAGAGGTCCTTGACCTAACTGTTAGGGATGAAAGTGTCATAGTCCTGATGATGGCAATTGTAGTGTGCTCCACCCAGGTAGGCCTCTCCATTCCCCCACTTCATTCAGTTCCAGAGAGGTACAGAAGAGTCCTAAGGATTCTGAGCTTCAGCCACTTTTCCTGGCTCTGGGCAGAGTTTGGGACGACGTGGTCAGACATGTATTGCTCTGTCCCCACCGCTTCCCTTCCCTCCAGGCTTCAACTATAGAGATGTGCTCTGTATTCCAGATTGGGATGAGAAGCAACCATAATAATGCTTTAGTCATGCCAGTCATTTCATGGCCATTCCCAACTTTGTCAGAGTGATGAGACCCCCACCAAGTGACCTACCTAGTAAAGACAGCCACCCAAGATTGTCTTCAATTGCTTCTAAAACTCCTTTATTGAAGAGTTAATAACTTCAGGGTAAAGAGAATCAACTGTTCTAAGCCTGTTGATATCACTACCCAGCTGTTTTCCTACCCACTCAAATCCTCTATGAAAGGAGGCTACCATTATGCACCTGTTTCTTGGAACTACCTTGATCAATTTTGCCAAGGAAATGCTTATACTTTTCCCCCACTGTTTACTTGACTGTCAGCTTCACAGGAATATTAGTAGCCTGTATTCTTTTATCTCTATCATTCCCTCAAGTCCCGCTCAGTCATACCTCTGAACTCTTACCTTGGGGTCTTGGCAAATTCATTAACTCCTTCCTATCAAGGAGTGCTTGGTAATCAACTTAATAGCTATAGAACCTTGATTTAGTCCAATCCCCAAAGCCCCGCTTAAGACTCCAGGCTTAACCTATACAACTTGTCCAGGATCCTAAGTGCTTCCAGTATGCCTATTGTTTGTTAGAGCTCTAGGGAACCCCCTTCTCCCTGGCTTACAAATGTGTTGATAGCTGGTATGTATGAGGAACTTGCCTATCCGGCCAGTTTTCTTTATATAGTTAGATCTGCTGAGGCAAAGCACCAGACTAGCTCTGAAATTTGTTAGAACTGAAAGGTTCCTCACACTTGTTTTGGAGATACATAAGCCAGAACTTGCCTGGGTGCAAAGATGGAGCCGAGTTCTTCTTTGGGTAGACTGTTACTGTGGTATGGAGTAGTGTTCCATGAACATGTGATGAGTAACCTCTCCCTTAGGAATTCTTGCCGATGAAGCTACATCTGCAGTAGCCACCCAAAGAACTTAATCTATTGGCTTGGGTTATGTTAGGCAAGATTGTTCCTGTCTTGGCAGGATAGCATGCAGTCTGCAATAGCTAATATAACTGTGTACATACAATGCCTCAGCTGAAGTCAAACCCCACATGGACAAGATTAGACAACAGGCCACCTGACTACAGCAACTCTCCAGAAGCCCCACAATTACCCAAGTGATTTTCTGGGCTTCTCACAAATGTCCCAGGTCTTCTGATCAGTTTCACAAGACCTCCTGAAATTACAACTTTCCTTTTCTCTAATAAGGCTCATAATTTACCTCATAATTCAGTATAGCACTAAGTCTTGTGCTGAAACTATAGATTAGATGACTAATGTTTTCATTATGCAGGGCAGGAGCCCCAGACCTGGCATGCCAGAGTACCTCTAAGGCTACTGCAAAACAACTTCAATTCTTCTCATGCTGATCATGGTATTCCCATCTGTACCCCCATCAGCAGGAAGCTGACAATCATACCCTCATTCCTTATTGATTTCTGCCTCAGGATTCATAAGTAGGTCGAGGGGATACTGAGACCACCCTCAGTTAACACTAACAAGCCCGGCTTCAGGCAGAATTAGGAGGTACCCAGGCACACTGGTCCTATTTGGACCCTCTCTGCAGTTGCCTATCCAGAGTCACGGAGTATGCCGACCACTTGCTTCCTTCATTGTTCCCACAGATAGGATCTCTGCTGAGACTAGCTTAAGACTTTAGGCTCAAACACTGCTTATTTTTCGGACCTTTGATTTCCAGCAGGATGTCTGGTGCCAATCAATCTGAAAATCCAACCAAGGAACTGACTCAGCCTAAAAATGTTTTCACCTTTTTGCCCCCGACTTTACCTTTTACTTCTAAGGCTAATCACAGCAATTCCTCACACCTCAGACCAACATCCATCCAACCATCCTTGTAGATCCCTTAACGTTATTCCCCAAACCTCTCGAGGTAGATTTGAGGTTTCCAACCACCTCATTTAGTGGCTCTACCATTAAGCTTTCTTGGCTTCAACCTTGGTGCATTGGTATGTTGACTTGCTATCCAACAGGCAATCCATCTTATGTACTATGCTTTAACTCTCTAAGATCTCTAGGAGTAACTAAGTCTTTTTGCTCAGTAAGAGACCTTAACCATTCTCCCCACGGATACCCTTTCATCTTTCTTCAGAGGAGGAAGCTCCTGAAATTGTTCTACTTCATACATTCTTGCCAGTATTTCTTCCCCTTTTAACTTCCACAATAGTTTCCCTTGCAAACTTCTAAACAGCTTCCATCATTCTGATGTTTTCTGAATGCCCAAATCTTAATAGTCCCAGGAACTTGGGGGACAGCAGAGAAGAGAGAGGGGTTTTTCATTTGACCCTATTACAGTAGTGACGAATTGCCCAGTTAGCCATGTGTCATGCTGCGTGCAGCCTGGATTAAATTAACATGTGGCATATGCCTGGTATTAGTTTTCCCTCAAAAATCATCCCTCAGGAGAGATGAAGTCAAATTAAATGAAAGCTTTTTACAAAGACTCCATTTTGGTCTAGTCTCAAATTGTGACTACAAGGTGCCATTTGGGAAAATGCATTAACTGGAAGAGATGTGAATGCTGGTTCAAGACTGCTGTAAGCCTCGACCAAAAAGTGAGCAGTTTCTCACATAACACCGACTCAATAGTTGTTTCTGCGGGTATGCCCAATGTCTCAAATTTTAGATGCTATAAATAGGCCATTTGTAGATTTTTTTTTTTTTTTAGAGCAATAGAAACAAACTGTAAGAAACAAACCCATGACCATTGGGGAAATAGGGATAAAGACTGATACTTGTTTTGTGAAAATAGGTCCTTGTGGTTTGGGTTTCAGTTTCCTGCAGTTGTATCTGATTTAAGTAGTATTTGTTATGACTAAGCATATCAGCTCTGGAAAACTGAGGTGACTCAGCTTCTCACTAGCTACGACAATGCCAATGTTAAAGCTATATATAAATGAGTGCATAATTGGCCAAGACTTAAGTCATGAAGACATTAAAAAATTTATGTGTAACAACAAATCCAATAGGGAGACAGTTTTTCTTTAACCCATAACGTTTGTATATTTAAGGTATGAACATAACATTTACAACTTCAGTGGAAGATGGAAGTGCCTCAAGTTTGGCATTAGATTCAGATAAAGAGGGTACCTTTTTTATACTGAGCCTAGAGCCTTCCTCTGCCCTTTTCTGGTTTCAGGATCTGTTGGCGTCTTCAAATGGATTTCCATAAATTCTTAGAGGGACAAGGAGTACTTTGCAATGGAGGGGAAACTTGTATCCTTTGTTAATAGTGTTGTCGACAGCAGCTGTTGCAAACCTCCTAAATTTTTCAGTACTTTTTTCAGCATATATCCCTGCCTCTGGTTTAAGAATGGGCTTTTATGTGGCTTTGAAGTGATGCCCAACAGTTTAAGAAAATGATGAATCATTTTGTTGTAGTAAAAACTTGGGGCATACTCCCCATCCAACTTGGGAAGGTGAGGTCTCAGACTCCACCGAGAACTTGGAGTGAACTCCCCCTCATGAGTGTGAGGTTTCATCTTAAACTCCATATGTGAGTTAGTGACCCTCAACTACTAGACTTTGAAATACATACTGAAGATTTGACAGACACAGAGCTTAGGCCAGGGCAGGCTACACTGTCAGCTGCCTCTCTGAAAACCAACAGCCCCTCCCATCATAGGCCCAGAAGCCTAGAAATACTGGTCTTCTAGGCCAGATTCAGAGCACCGCCCAGCTGCAGAGTCCTCAGACACTGCTTCCTGCATCCCAGCTGCTCCAGCTCCAGCCATGGTTCAAAGGGTCCCAGGTACAGTTTGCACCACCAATTCACAGGGTATAGCCTTAACCCTTTTAACATTGGTGGCTTCCAAGTACTGTTAAGTGACTAAGAGCTAACGCTTGGAAGCCTCCACCTAGATTTCAAAGGATGTATGGAAATGCCTGGATGTCCAGGCAGAAGCCTGCTGCAGGAACAGTGCCCTCATGAAAAGTATCTACTAGGGCACTGTGGACAGGAAATGTGGGGTTGGAGCCT